TGTTGCCTGCCTCATGTCGCATGTCGCTTAAGTGCTTATTAAAGGTCTTCTCATTTACCTCTGCTCCTTCTTAGCTGCCACTCACCTTCTCCTTGTGTTCGTTCTGTGCCAGTTTTGGTTGCCGCCCATTTGAATTGAATCGCTTTCTGTGCTTGCTTAGTTGCATGTGCCTTGGTTGCATGTTGTTGTTGTTGTTGTTGCTGTTGTTGGTTGTACTTATTGAAGTGCAGTTTGCTTAGGGCGTACTAAAGCACCGTTATTTTAATAAACGCCGCCTGGGCATGCAACACAGCGCACCGCACCGCAGCGCTGCTCAGCTCAGCTCGGCTCAAACTCAACTTTAACTCGATTCCTGCCCTTTTCTTTATATTTTTTTATGGTTTTTTAGTTTTGGTTTTTGTTGGGTAAAAGTTTTGCATTGCTTTTCTTTCCGGAGCGACGACTTTCTTCCCAAAAATTGAAACGCAGCTGGCGGCATCAAAGCAAGCAAAACGCGTTGCGAGTTCAAAGCGTTTTAGTGGTAAATTATGGAGCAGGCCGACGGTAATAGCAATAACAATTTGGCAACACGCCCACGCCACTGCCACGCCACTCTGCCGCTGCCGCAGCCCCTGCCCCTGCCCCCGTCTCTGCCTTTGCCTTTGCCTCATGTGCCCAGTTCATAAAATAAACTAAACGTTTTGTTTTGAAACGCGCCGTATTTGTTTATTTACACACCGAGTGCTAAGAACTTTAGCGCGCATAGTCATTTAAATGTCAATGTTTAATTGACAATGTGAGCCAACCCTCCCTCATACACAGCGAGAAAAAACAGCAACATTTTAGCATTGCCATCTGAATCTGCGAGTCGAGCATTTCGATCAGTGGTCACAAATTTTTAAGCAGTTTATTTTTGTATTGAAGATTGTATCAATGAACAACGATTCAGCTCGAATCAAGACTGCCTAAATATGAAAATTTGTTAGTTAAATAATTTCGTCTTTTCTCTTTCTCTTCTCTCTCTCTCTCTCTCTCTCTCTCTCTCTCTCTCCTCTCTCTCTCTTTGTATCTCTCCCTCTTATTTTCTCTTGATTTGAAGCTCATTTAATTTTTATAATTCTGTCATCTTTTGCTGCTGATTAATCATCTTCAACACTGTGTGAACTTTTCTTTTTATACTTGAATTGAACATTTAAATCAGGAGATTTTCTCACTGTGTATATGTATGACAGTGGATAGGCATTGTCTTGGGCGGCTCGGTGACGAGTTCAGCTCTCCACATTTGTCGACATTTGCCCGATGCTGATTGTCGATAGCCAATTTTCAATTTCAATGCTCGCGCTCTGACATGAAACGACCTTGAGCTGTGAAACCAGTTCAATTATTCCAATATATATATTCATATATATATATGTGTGTGTGCAGAATTACTCAGGCAACTTCACACACAAATCGTTATTGTAAAGTTGTCAATATTATGCGTGTCCCATTTAACGCGACATTAAATTAACGCTTGTTTCGTACCGTTTCCACATGTTAATCAAATTGTCAGCTAACAGTTGCTATTTATAAAGTTGTTGCCGTCTTTGAGTGAAAGTAATTTGCTCGAATCTGGATTTGGGACACGCCTAGATATTCAAAAATTCACATCTTTATGTCAGCTAGTTCACATGCTGAGTAAGTGATCTCTGCGAGATGCTCTGTGTAATCATAGAAAGTTTTTTTCATTTTAACCAACTTTGTTTTAGCCATCAAATTGTTGTTGTTGTTTGGCTCATTATCGAAACTTATTGCAATCATCAAATGTTCGCTAAATGTTTATACTATGCACCGTTAAGCACTTATTTAGTTAATCATTTAGCGCAGGGCTCCTAACAAAGAAATTCATTTAGGGTGTGTGTGTGTGGGCTGTGGGCGTGGCTCGACAGAATAAGGTGCAGTCGGCACTCGTGATTGCATCGAGTATTGATGTTGTGCAAAGGGTTTGAGAAATGCAAATGCAAATGCAACAATATGTAATAATATTAATATAAGAATGCAGTCAAGTCTTCTAATGATCGATTCAAACATATCCTATAATATTGTTTGCTTACAATACATATTTGTTGATCTAGTTTACAAATATACTGATTTGATCTATGAAAAATAATTGTTAAAATTGAATCAAATGTAATTCAAATCAATATTTTAATAGTTTATTTTTTCAATCATGATTTAGATATGTGCTACCCTGCTGCAAATGATTTCTGTTGTAATATTTTAGTCAACTAAACAAACGATATATTTCTAAAAGTTCAATTCACTTCATATTTTTCCCTTTTATTCAGAACGATGCTTCAACTCAAGTTCCTCTTAACTATTACACAGATTCGAAATGCTTTATTATTCACTTCTTCGCCCATCATTAATATGCCATGGATGTAATTATGTGCAACACTTACATGTGAGAATGATTGCGACGATGATAATTGTGTGTCGTGTTATTTAATCAATTGTTAAATTGAATATCTCTATTGAGTTACGGATACCCGGCTCGATGCACAATCAAAGCAGCAAGAGAACATTTGTTATGCATTTATTCCACTCAAGTGCTCGGCAATCGACAAATTGTTTTTACGTTGATCATGGCAATGGATGCAGCTCTCCCATCGAGATCTCATTATTTATATCAATGTAATCGGCATGATCGGGGTAATTTCAATGCATTTTTGCATTGGGGCAGATACGGCAGATGGGGCACTTGCCGCATTGACAAGACGCATAAAACCAATCTTCCATTTAATAACCAATTATCATTGATCAACTGCACGCCCAGAAACCAGCCCACTGGGACACCACCAGGTGGACTGAGGGGCACAACGGGCAGAGACCAGCACATTCGTACTGCACAATATCAATTACGAGTTGCAAGTTGCAAGTTGCAAGCTGCGACTGATTATCCCAGCCAACTGGCTGTTTGGGGGGAAATTGGCCATGGCCAAGGCAAATGGAGGCATAACTCGAAACAACTCGAGCCGGCAATATCCAATTGGCAATCGGACAAACAATCGGCTTTTGTCTGCAGCGGCTGCCTTTGCTGCTGCTTCTTTGACTTTTCTACAGCTCGGGGGTTGTGTCTGATTAGCGCTTAAACAAGTTAATGCCATTGATGATGATTCCAATTCCGATTCCGATGCTGTACGAAAAAGCACCTGAACAGAAACAGATACAGAAACTGAAACCGAACACAAGCAAACGAAACGAAACCAAACAGACGCTGAATGCATTACAATGTGGTCGAGATCAAGTCAAGTTGCGTACGTGGTGCCGGGACTTATTCAGAGACTTACTGCCAAGGCTCCGATTCAAATCAACAATAAGTAAGAATGCTTCAAATCGGAGAGTAAACGACTGCTTAACACTCTCATTAGAGCCCAACGCTCTTTGAAGCAGATTAATATTTCTATTGCTCTTAAAGTTGTAATCACAATTTGTTTTTAATAAATAAAAAATAACTAAATAGTAATAGTAGTAGTGGACTCAGAATATATATGTTAGGCTTCTCTTTAATAAATTCATTTTTCATTTTATTTTGATGACCAAAAAGTAAGGAGCGATCGATCGCCTTGAAATTAGGCATCCACCTCAGTCTTTAAAAACATGACTTGTAAATAAATTGATTTGATGAATCGAGTGGAACATCTGGGAGAAGCAGAGTAGGTGGACAATGTTATGTTGCATAAGTAACAGTTGAGAACTTAATTCTCTGTTTTACGATTGTCAACCTTGTCTACTTATTAACATTTGATTTATATATATTTTATATATATATTATTTGAAGTATCAAGTCCCTAGTTTCGGTATCACTTATAATTACTTGAGGATATCAAGTCGGATATCAATAAAAACCTTTTGTAGCTACGGTTTGCAGTGTATAAAAACAGCAACCATTTCGGCTCCAAGATAAATGGGCCAGCTGCTGATCCGATGACAACAACTGCAGACGAGTGCTGCTTGGGAGTCGAGTCGAGTCGCATTGCGTTGTTGCCTCTCGTTGTTTCAGTTGTCAAAAAGAAGCTTTTGATGTTCGGCGACGACACTTTGGATATACTCGTATCCTCAACCCATATGTTCCCCCCCTCCACATACTCCTCCATGTTGAACTTTCCCATTCGTCTGCGACTAGGCTTCCCAGAATATGTAGCATCGTCTGTCTGTCTCTCTGTCCCCATCCACGTCCCGGTCACCGTCTCTGTTTACCCAACACTTCTTATGTTAATGTTTTGTCGAAGTCAAACCATTTTTGTTGGCTTTACCTTGAATTTGAAAGCTAACAAAAGCCACAAATAGCCAGCGACAAAAAAGCCCATCTAATGTGAACATTTCATAGATATGCATAACTTAGGCAGCATAATACTAGCCAGCAAGATTTGGGTTCGTTGGGTCCAATTTAAGATTTCAGCGGGTTATGAAATTAGATTCAGTGTATCTTAAATTCGCTGATTCGCCCTTATTATTTAATATATTTATTTTCAGAATTTAAATAAATGTTACCAAAAATTCTCGACAAAAACATATATTGTTAATATAATTAAAAAATTAACCATTCCGATATTATCTTCTTTAGAAGTTTTTTTTTAAGTTCTCCCAACCATTTCTTGACAAAAACAGAGCTTTTATAGGATTTCGACAATTCCATTGCAAACTTAATCAGATTGATGGTTTTTTTAATTTGGATTTCTCAATCCTGCTTTTATCCCGCTCTCTCGCTATACCCTATAATTTACTTTTTGTTACCTAGTGCAATTGTACGTCCAGTGATAATTCTGTACAGATGATGACTTAATTTGCGACTATTAATGGAATGGGAATGGAATTGTCTGTGGGAGCACTGTGACTTTAGTCTATGCAAATGAACAACAATTATGAATGCTGATTGTGAACCAGCAGCGCTAATTGAAAGACCAGACCAGACCAAGCCCAAACCAATTGTAGACCACGGCAAACATATAACTAACCCAATTTGTGTCTTCTATTTGCAGGCTGCCCGGTGACGACGAGTTCGCATTGTTTGCGCTGCAACAAGGCTGGTTGCATCAAGTGTCCACTGTACCTGGTGACGGACACCAGGCAATGTGTGGACGAGTGTCCCACTGGCTATCTGGATCAATGGTCGGCGCACACAGAGTTCATGGGTCGTGTTTGTGTGCCCACGGGTTACTCGGGACCATTGATGGCGGCCCTGGCTGGTCTTCTAGGCGGATTTCTCGTTTGCCTCTCACTGCTCGCGGTCGCTGTGCTGCTGGTGCGGCGCAAGCGTCGTCGCAAGTCCGTCAAACAGAAGCTGATCAATGAGAACACCATGGATCGTGCAGATTTTATGCGTCAACTGAACGAGATGCGTCCCAACGCCGAGTATTTTCTGGCCATGTTGAACGACACTCGCCGGCAAATCCGTAAACTATATTTATCAGGCGAGGTGGCGGCCGCCAACTCCTATCGTCCCATTGTGCGGGATCTGGCCAAGTTGCTCATCCTGCTGAATCGGCCGATGGAATTAATACCGACACCGCCGCACGATTGGGCGCGTCTCTATGCGTGGTCGGAGCAGGCTCTGGAGCGCTACAAGCCGCAGGTGGGCCAACTCATTGACTTCTTCCAGGCCTCCCAAAATGGTCACGAGGTGCTCTATGCGGCTCCGGCCAAGAAGCAGCCTGGACACAGCATCTACAGGCAGCAGCAGCACCAGCAGCAACAGAAGCATCCAAGCACGCCCACAAAGGGTAATCAACTGGGCGGAGATCTGTTGCCCGGGGATCGCAATAGCAACGCTTCAGCGCAACAGAAGCAGCATCTGTTTGGCTCGCTGATCAGTCTGCACGAGTTTGAGGAGCCGCGTGCCTCGGATCCATTTGGCAGCAGCTTCAACACACTTAAGAGCGGCAATCTCATATCGGATCTCAATGCCAGCTCACTCTGGTTGGAGGATGAGTTCTACAAGCTGGGCTTTCGACCGCAGGACGAGATCACCACAGAGCTCTAGCTTACCACAGTATTAATTTTAGCACAAAACAAAAGCTGGCAATGCTACACGCGTTCAAAGTGCAGCATTTGTCCAGAAGGATTCTGGAGTTGATCACATTCCATCATTCCAGCCATCATGCCATCAACAACAAAAACAAAAACAAACAAAACAAAAGAAAACTGAGACGCACATTTAGATACAAGTCGCTAAATGTTAACGTTTAGTTTAGCTGTAGCTTAACGTAACTCTAATTAGTTAGTCTAGCCTCTAAAGAGCGAACTAGTCACGTAAAAAGAAAACAATATCAAAACAAAGCAAAACAAAATGCAAGCAAAATGAAATTCGCGTGGAAAATGATTTGAATTTTATGGATTTTACAAAAATCGGCAAACACAAATACAAATATCATGTAACGAACAACAATATTCGATAATACATATTAGCTATACTTACATAATATATATGCTTACTATATTTATAGTTAAAGTAACTACTACATCTATGATATTTATAGACAGAGATTATAATGCCTAATGAATACAACATTATTATTATAATTATTATGATGATGATGCTGATAATGATGAACAATAAAATCATGTGCCTAAAACTATTTAAATGCCCTCTCAACGTACGGCTAACAATTATCATTTTTAGCCAGCGTTACGGCGCCTCATATTTCCACAATATGAATGGCTCCTCCTTAATAGCAATATTCTCCTCCTGCTTCTGCTCCACGTTGTCATGTCATGTCTCCTCATTGCTCATGGCATCCTTGTGCACAGTCTGCAGATGATCGGCCCACTTGCGCTCGTTGACCAAACGGGACAGCTCGCTGGCATCGTAGCCAATCAACAGCTTCAGATCACAGTCGAACTTGTAGGCGAATCGCTTGCCCGACACCTTCGATATCATGTCGCCGTCATAATAGTATCTCAGGGCACGTGACAGCTTCTCATAGTTCATCGCCGGCTTGTTCTTCTTCTCGCCCCACAGCCGTGCCACACGATCCGGATCACTTAGCTTGAACTCGCCATCGGTGCCCACCCATTCGATGATGTTCGTGTGTTCGCTGTCCGTGAGTATCTCCAACAAAAACTGCCACAGCTGCACCTGACCATTATTGCCGGATCCAATGCTGTTGTGGTGACTCGGACTCTGCGGCGTCGACGAGCCTTCCGAGGCTGCAACAAAAATTGCGAAAAGTTAGTCGCTGAATAATTCAGAATATATCTTTTGTCCATTTCCAGAGAGCATTTAATTACTGAATAAATTCATTTGAATATTACAGTGGGTTGGTCTTAACAAATTAGAATATTTATTTATTCCAATTCGAAATTGATGAAAAATGCCAACGACAAAGGAAGCAGTGCAATAATTGCAAATGGTTTTTGAATCGTCAGAGCAAGCAGTGCAAAGTAAATACAATGATATTTGAGAGTTGCCAAGTTTAGAAGTTCTCATTACTTTTAGTGAAGGATAAATAACATTATTGAAATAACAATAATATAACAAGACAAAAGCTGACACGACAAATCGTCTAAAAACTGACAGCATGGAAAATGTAATTTTTTGAGTGCATTCACCTCGGTCGAGTGTTTGTATAGTGCACATCTAAAAGAGGGTTTCATTGTCTCGATGATCTCAATGGGATCAACTCACAGTGTGCCGACGGCTGTCTGATTTTTGTTAGAGTAATTAATTAAATTTACAATATTAATCAGATCTAAAGTTTGTTAAGCTAAATTGACATTTTCTCTTTAGTTGCTGCCAAGTGGAGCATTTACTTACAGTCTGTGCTCTTTACGCTTTGATAGGATTTGCGCATGATGCGCTGCTCCAGACTGGCAGCAGCAGCAGCAGCAGCTGCAGCTGTTTGAGCAGAGCCTGTTCCTGATTTGGCTGGTTTGGGCTTACGCAGCTCCTCGGCTTGTTTGTGGACCACGGAGACGAAATTGCACTCCTTGAGCAGCTGCAGATGCGTCCAGAACACATTTCCTGGATCCTTGGGCAGCTTACGACTAAACTGCTCGTGACTCATGGCGCACAATGCCTGCCCGCTGATTTGCCACGTGTCCATGTTGATGTCGCGCAGATCAAACTCTTTGATGGCCCAATCCAACCAGTGGGCGACATGCGCCGGCGTCCAATCGCTGACTGCCTCGGGTATCTTGAGACGCACTTGCTCCCGCTTGAATTTGCTATCAAGCACCCAATTGAGCACAGGTTTGGCCACTTCAACATCTGCATCCGTCTCGGCATCTGCATCTGCATCCTTGTCCTCATCGGTGACATCAACATCGAAGGATTCATCTTTGAGTTTGCGTTTCTTATTCGAGGGTATTGTCTTGCTGGGACTGCCGCTGGAGGAAGAGCAGCTCTTGCTGCTGCTATTTGTGTCCTGGGCACAGCTAGTGTCCTCCACGGCAAGTGTGGCCAGCGCAGCTTCCGTTGGCTTGAGCACATCGGCAATGTTGATCTTCTTGCGTATCGTTTGAATTTGCACGTTGATTTGAACTAATCCCTCGCCTTTGACACACTGATCGACAAGATTCTTGTGCGGCTCCAGCTGCAAATCAATGCAGTTAGTTTTGAGTCGTTTAAATACAATTTAAAGTTTACCTCCTGCGCATCCTGCAGCCAGAATGTGTAATAGTTCAGCTCGACGCCAATCTTTTGCTCCACAATCTTTCTGTAGGGGCAAAAATTAGGAAGGAATTTAAAGAAGTGTTTTATTTTCGATATGTGGACTTACTTGAGTGTGCTCAGTGGTTCCCTGATGTCCATGTGCACAATGATAATGTCATCGGGTTCATTTTCCACATCGCAGCTGCCATCCTCGTAGATATTCTGCTCCTCGAAAATCTCGCTTGCGATGACTTCCTCTGCAAATGTTAAGTTTTAGCAAATGGAGAAATTATTCACAGTAGCTACTATAAGTAAATTCCATATAATAAAGAAGAAGCAAAAACAGCAGCTGATGTTTATTACAACTCAAAGCTGTTTACAGGGTATCTGATTGTCGTATACGCACAGTCCTCATCTACACTTGTTGATTTATACATTTGCCAACTGTTGCTGCACGAATACTTTTTGCGCACGCTCTTTGTGTGTTGATTGCAAACTGAAAATGCAAGTCTTAAGAGTTGGAGAAATTTGTCACAGTAGCTACAAAAAGTATATTCCATTGAAGTGTGGAGCACAAGGAAGAAGCAGTTGCCTTAATTGAACTTACAGCATATTTTCATGCACAACTTAGTTTTAATATATTAAAAGGGTCAACACTGTTTACAGGTTATCTGACAGTCGCATACGCTCATTTCCCTTGTACACTTGTTGATTTGTGCATTTGCCAACTGTTGCTGCACGAATACTTTGTGCGCACACTGTGTGTGTGTGTTGATTGCAAGTTGCAAGGTGCGCTTTGATGGCATGCTGCCTGCTCCTCGCTGCTGTTGCTGCTGCTGCACTTGTTGCGTTTGCGTTTCCTGACTTACCCAGGCCACCACCAGCGCTGAGACGTCGTATTAACTCCTCCGACAGGTCGTTGTTGCTGTCCATTTTTAATTGTTTATGTTTCTGTGGAGCTTGCCACAAATTTGTCAACGATTCACATATAAAGTAGCGGCAGTGTGACCAGATGTCTTGAAGCTAATTGCGCGTGGCCCATTTTTAGTGCATTGTTTCAATGGTGCTGCCAACTTTGCGTGCTATAGCAAGCAGCCCTTGAGCGTTAGTGTTAGTTGGCGGTTGAATTTGAATTTAAATGAGACGTTTTATTTGTTCACATATTTAAGTGAACAAGATTTTCAATTGACAGATTTTATAAATTCAAGGTTACGGGTTGAATTTCTTAGATTTCAATGCGTTGTCTTCTATTTCTGTCTTCAATCAGCAAAAAATGTTAAGCAAATGTTATATTTTCATGCGAAAAATATTTTAATTAACCACACACAAAATGTGACAATCAAAATGAAATGAAAATTTCGTTTGATCAACTTAAATTGTTGCTGAATGTTCGCAACTAATCACAAAATTTACGATCACTGCTGACAGGCAATCATTTTGAAGTGTTTAATTAAAGAACTCACCACGCACTCAATAATAAGCAGCTCTTAAAACAATCACTTTTATATATAGAGATAGAGAGGGGCACAATCCCAATCTAAAATTTGTATATACTTAAATTAGTCAATGTTTACTTAAGCGCATTGAGGAAGTGAATAAACACCAAGTGCGATTATTTAATGCTGATAAAATGCCGAAAAGAAAACCTGTTCAATTTCTCATATACAGCGAGAAAACAGGCATATTTAAATTGTATTTATTTATTTTAATTGTATACAAATAATATTAAAGTCAGTTTATTTCCATTTTGCTCGCATGAACTCAAATAAAATATTTCCTATTCTAATCGAATTACTTATTTTTTAGGCTTTTTTTCAAGTTTAGTTTTATTATTCATATAATTAATCCGAGATTAAATACTAGACTTTAGTTAGCTCAAGCCTGATGGACTATTTCGCATGACTTACTAGATTTTTTCTCTCTGTGCATATGCACAGGCAAAAACTACAGTCATCCATAGGACTAACAAAGACACAACGGCAGACAATTGTTTTATCAGTCTAGTTAAACAATTTGTCGCTGCTTCAAGTGCAAAACGCACTTGTTAAATACAAACGATTTTTCATGTTTTCGCACAGCCACGCCCCCAATGCCCCGTCATCCCCCACAAAAGTTGGAAGCGAGTTTTGCACTGAATATACAGAATAGAGAATATAGTTAAGTATATTACCTCATTGTTGACACAATTGGTCTTGCCAATTTCACTTCGTAGATGTTATCAAACCTTAAACATGAAATACTTTTGTCTAAGGTATTAATTAAGATTGGAGAGCGAGGAGATGCGGGGGAGGCGGGGGGAGTAGACTCATCATGTGCCTACAAAATTGCACAACAAATCAAATAGATTATTATGCTCGATGCCAATATGGGGAACAAATGGTCGCTCAGAAATAGGAAGTGTGCATAAAATGGAGTTTAAATCTAAATCTAGAAATTAAAAAATATTATTTTTTTTTACACCTGGCTTTCAAACAAACTACACTTTTTCGTTCAGATGCTGTAAATCTCTCTCTAAATACGAATCCTGTCCGGATTCAAAATATATCGGAATACATTTACAATGTGTAAAAAGTTTAAATTGGAAAAGCTCTTGTGCAAAAAAATGTAATTACAGAAGGAAGTCGGACATGGCTCCATAAAGTATATATGTTCTTAATCAGAATCAACAGCCGAGTCAATCTACCCTTGCCGTCCGTTCGTTTATATCTCACGCGAATCAAATTTAGACTACTTGTTCCCGTATACTCCGTGCAAATCAAGTTTATTTCATTTTATCAGTAACTACTGCCGACATATTTCAGCTGAACAGTCAAATTAGATCGGTTTGGAAATCGAATTCTCATAATAAATATATGCGCTGGATTAGTTTTTATTACACTTCTGTAAAATTCTGCAAAACTTTTAAGGCGAAAGTTGGCAATAAAACTGGAATATATTTAACTGGATATATCGTGATCGAGCTCACTCATTCTTATTTGTTTTTAATTTAGCACATTCATTTATAGATTTTTACACACTTATCGCTCAGCTGTGGACAATAAACTAAAAATTACAAATTCAAATATGGGGGCGCTGTGGGCCATGTTGTTGTTTGTCAATTAATAAATTTGCTCTCATTTATTTTAGCCTGTGTTCCAAATTTATAGTTCGAACTTACAACAAAGAATTTCTTTATTTAATAAATTGAAACCGCAAATTGAACACTTGCTTCTAGGCAAACCTCTTGGAACAAGTATAAGTCACCTAATTTATTTTTATTTCGTTATTTAATATCAATATTAGTTGACTAACACATTTTTTTCAGCAGCTGCTTAGCTCACCTCTGAGATAAGTTAAAATTTATTTAGTGACTCTTTGCAATTGAGTCAGCGGAAAGTGCATCATCATTACTCATTCATTTAAATAATATATAGGTAAATCAGCCAAGTTTCAATTAGCATATGCTCAAGAAGAAAGTTTCTCATACTTAATGGCCTTCAAACCTAAACAGATTGATATCTATATATGCAGATATAACTATTTGACTTTTGTCTAGTTCAAAAGTGTCTAGGTCATGTCTTTCAGTCAGCTGCACTTCTTGGTGCGAGTCAACGAGCCCAAAGATATTGATATCAATTATGTGCCTGAGGCTAAGAATAACAAGTCGCCAGGGAATACAGACTGACATAACTACAAAACCATAAAATTATGCGCAGTCATTGTGGCGCCGTCAAAAAAGACACACAGACATAAAACTAGAACAACAGCAACAACAGCAACAACAAGAACAAATACAAATACAACATGACTTATGAGAGCCAGGAATCGGCGGCCTGCCAACCGAACGTGGCAAAAACAACCCCTTGGAGGCGCCACAGGATTATTTGGACGCCACGGCGACAGAATAGCGCATTCAACTCGACAGCTCGACAAACTCCGCGCATTGCGTCATTAAAATACAGTAGTACCTCGCTGAAAGTACAACTATCATCAAACCCCTTTGTCTTGAAATATCTTTAATATTGTATAATATTCGATTCTTTCTTCTTACTCCACAGAGATTTATCTATCTCTCTTTTATTGTCTCTTTCATTCTTTATCCCTCTCTTCTTAATCTTTTACCTTCCTTATTAATAAGTTGCTAAATTTTAGCAATTATTGGTTTGGTTTGATATTTTGCCAATTTATTATTAAGCATTTTTCAAATTTAAGAACTGTCTACATCCAATAAATAAATAGTTTTGAAAATATAGAAAGAAAGTGATTATGATAAAAAACCATAGCTTACATAAATTTTGTTTTATGTTTTCTTTAAAATTAACGAATTTGTCTTAAAAATGATTAATTCTAAATATAATATATACAATTTATTTTTTTTAAAATATAATATTCTGATATATAATTCTGATTGTTATTTGGCAACAATTCAAATGAAGTTAAATACGAATAGCGTTTCAATTAGCGAGCACACACTGTAACAAAATAGTTGTATGTTGAAATTAAATCAATAGGACAACTCCCACATGGATAAGGCTGCCCAACAAGCCGTAAGTCCCGAAATTGGAGTAACTGTAAAATGGTGAAATACTCGCGGCATTTGCATTTTATGGGGCATGCGGCTTTGAAGCCTTTGCCTGGTATTTAGGTCACTGGAGAAGGACACACCGATTGCAAGGACATATCAAAGACGAAGGTGGAGCTGCGTTTTTACAGCGCATAACTCAACTGAATTTTGTGTTAATTTCCGTTTTTTTTTTTCATTTCTATTTCATAATTTGTACTAATTAATTGATTCGCTTTTGGCGCATTTGCCAATGGGCGCGCTTTCTGGGTCGCTACATAAATAATCTAGTTTCTTTTATTATTATTATTTATTTTTTCGGACTACACCTGCAGCCTTGCCTTGGCTCGAGCTCGTTATTGTCTGTGTGTCCTTTTGTATATTTTATTAGCCACTTTGCTATCGATAGAAGAACCTTCTTAAATGGTCATAAGAAACATACGATTTTGAGTTTGTTTGCCTAAATAGAAAGTTTATTTTATAAAACAAAAACATTTCAAAAATGAATCACAAATTGGTTCTGGCAAATATTGGGCAACACAATAATTGCGTCATGTCCGAATAAATTAAAAAAAATTAACTTAGCTCTCGTTGCGCTTGAGTCACGGCTTGAATGCCATCATATTTACCAAAAGCTGAGCTGGAGTCATGATTAGAAGACAACCCGTGAATTATTTGATTTATTTGCATACAGTGAGAAAAATGCATTGTATATTAAACGTAGCAAATCTTGATTTAAAAATGTTGCAGGTGGTTAAATTATAACCCCAATAACTCTACAATAGTGACTGCTAGTGGTAACGGTTATCGATTATTATCAATATTGCGGAAATAGATTAAATGATCGATAAATGAAGTAAACCTAATCTGCTCGAGGTATGCGAAAGCTTATATTTTAAATTTTAATCTTTTGCTCTTATAATTTCTTTGAGATTAGCGATCTTTTGATGCTCATCATCATATATATATTTGATATCTTATCGAAGTTGCTTTTTCTGCATTTTAGTGCCACCCTTTCTTATTGTTTTTATAGAACATTTAGTTAAATTTAACATAGAACACTGCGAAATCAATCGATTTATTATATTATATATTCTTAACTCAATGATTTAGTAAATAGTTTATTTGCTCGCATAAATAAATAAGTTATTAATCAAACTAATTGCTCTTGAATTATTGCATTGAGTATGCAACATTCTATTCTGTTTGTATGCGTGTGCGTGTGTGCTTGTGTGTGTGTGTGTGAGTTGGATTTTCTTATCAATCGACTGCGCTGCTAGCAAGAATCGACCAATGCTGCTGCTGCCGGCGTTTGCTGTTGCTGGCGTTTGCTATTGCTGCCGTCGCTGTTGCTGCTGCTGGCGTCGCTGCTGTTGCTGCTCTTGTTTTATTATTGCGCTCATCGTCGCGCTCTCAGCAGCAGCGGCGTTGTTTGAAAAATCAGTCTGTTGTCGCAACTGAAACGCGAAGGTTGTCGTTGTCGCTGTCGTTGTCGAAGTGCGCGCTTCACGTCTCTCGTCGGCAAAGTTCTCAGTGTCTCTACGAAAGAGGGAGAGTGTAGTTTTTTGTTGGCCAACTAACGTTTTGTTTGGGCCAACGGCGAAACAAGCGTTCCCATCTACGTAAGAGAGTTTCAAAAATTTGTATTATTATTAGTTTTATTATTGGTGGTATTGTTGTTTCTGTTTTTTGAGCCCGTTATCGCAGTGCGTGTGGGCGATATGCGCGTGGGGGCGTCTTAGGCCATTTAAATACAATATAATAGAACATCGAATTTTATCACATTTTCAACAAAAATTGAAATGAGTTTTGTGTGCAGGTTTTTATTTGTTTTTTATAATGGCAAATTCTAAATTTGAATTCATTAAAACGCAAAATAGGCAATAACAATAAAGACTAACAGCGAACAAACAAACATGTTTATCTCAAATCCAGGGAATAAGAACAACAGAAACAACAACTGCATTTGAAATATGCTCAATCGATTTGCATTGCTTATGTTGTTTAGTGTTGTTTTTGTTGCTTTCAATCTAATCAAAATCAAATCAAAGCATTGCCAACTCAAAGTGTAACTCGAGTTTTTCTTGTTGTTGCACATTTCGAAAGCTTTATAAATTTCCATATATATTTAGTGTTTTCCTAAAATCCATTTTGTGTAACACAAGTGGAATATTGGTGAGTTTCCGCAATCGCATCGAGCGTATTTAATGTTGGTGGATGAGGAGGAACCCACTTAAAATATGTGCAAGTGCTTTTTATAAACTTGTGTGTAGTACGAGTATTATTGATTTTCACATGTGCGCAGGTTGCAGCTTGAACAGCCGGCAAGCAGCAAATGTCCTTCGCAGGCTGCAACTTGTGCCGGGTCCACAGTCACGCCAAGAGCCCAAGGACGCAGCTCACACAGTTGTTGCTGTTGCTGCTGTTGTTGCTGCTCTTGTTGTTGTTGTTACTGTTGTTGTTACTGCAGTGGTACTTGAACTTTCCACCACCTGCGTCCACGCGACAAAACAGCTGTTTGAAAGTTTTCCCTGGCAGCATTTTTCGAGTAGCTTTTATTTTTCATATCTAAAAAAGAAAACAGAAAAAAATAGCTGCTGCTCTCAGAATTTTTGAGTGGAAATTTTTTTAAATTTTAAATACAAAGCTAACTCGCCGTTTTCTTTCCTTCATAACTCTCTTTAAAACCCATTCTTTCAATTTCAACATTTTACTGCAGATTTTTCCAAACTTATACACCTATTTTTAAGTGATAGAATATTTGATATGTTAATTAAGAAAATAGCTTCTTCAATAAAATTACTGTACTCGGCATTTTCTGTGTGTGGCGGAGAGTTAGGGAAATCTCGATAAATACTTATTGCTGCAAAGCAAATTCACTCGAGCTTTGCTTCTTGAAAACCAGGCTTTCAGTTTGAGCACTGTAGATTTTCTCTAACTTACACACATAACTTTTAAGCTCTAATATATTTAAATGTTCATTAAGAAATCATATTCCTTAATGAAATAAAGCTTTTGAAAATCTCAAAAAGTACTCACTTTAAATACATGTTTTGTGGTGAACTTAATTTTAGGCTATGTTTATTCTCTGTAAATATTTTGTGTTTTGTCAGACTTTTGTCTGCCTGGCGGGCACCCTGCTGTGTGGCATGTGTGGGTGGTGTTGGCACCGGCACCCACTTGTACCACTTGCAGCATGCAGCCGCATTTTGTGTGCTGCACGCTCTTGCGGGACCACTTGTTAGCGATGTGGGTTTTTATCAATAGACACAGGGCGTATACGTAATTGCATATACTCGTTCATACAAAAACAAGCCCCACTGTGATTACCTCAGCGTGGCAAGCGCCTAAGTGGGTCGCTATCGACGTCGTCATCATCGTCGTGGTCGCTATTTGTATCTCCCTCTGTTGGCATTATTATTTTCACAGCACTTTGCATTAATGCTCGCAATGCAGGAACACCCGCAAATATGCTACAATTTGTCCGCAAGGCTCTGTTGTCAATAAATCAAAATTGCAAGAAAAAAAACGAGAAATTCATAAACATGATTCGTTGTTGCAACAGTCCAACTCCATTTTCCTTTCACATTTTCCATTAAGCTTGGGCTTTTCACAAAATTGTATGCCGGGCATTGTTTGGCTTACATTTTAATTATATTGGGCTTACTCTGTGCGCACACTTTTCATTAATTAATCAAATGCCTGCCCATCCATGCGACAATTGACTATTTTTATAAAAATTATGCAAGCCCCAGTCAACACATAATTTAACACTAGAGCGATTTTGTCGGAGGGGCTCTGCTTATCAGATTTCAGCACAGGAACCACAACATTTACTCGATTGTAATTTGATAGAATTACGCAGATAAGGTCAAACAACACAGCTGGCATATGCCAAAAAATATGTTCGAAATACACTCAGAAAAATGGATGATCTTGTACTGAAACCAAGTTCAAATTCTGTTAAAATATGGAAAGATGGGAATTATATTTCAAGAATGGTCTTAGTCAGGAATTTCCAATTGATTACTTTTTTGGAACTTAAAATATCATAATAATAAGTGAATAGTAATATTGCTTAAGTTTTATTATAGGTACTCAAGCTGTAAGCCAATCTTTAAATCAACTATTAACATATTTATTACAACTTAAGTTCAGCAGTTAAGTTCCTACATTATGTATTGGAACGTATACTTGATTCAAGAAGTTTTATTCTTACTAAATAACATTAACGGTCGATTACTTAATTCAAGATTAGAATGTGAATCGCAAAGCGATTGATATTCTATCCCTCTTGTACTTGAATTAGAAACAGCGTTTTCTCTGAGTGTAAGCATATATGTATCTATCTGGAGTCAGGCTCGTTTCATCCGGCTCCGGGGCGAGGCATTGTTGTAACATGCCTGCTCTTATCTGCCTATTTGATTTTGCCTCGGGCTCTGAGCTCATCAGCGGCTGCAATTTTGGCACAAAAAAAAAAACAAAAAACAAAAAACAAAAAACAGAAAGCTAAAGCAAAAATCGTATCAAATTCCCAGTCGCCTCCTCGAAGGGATGAGGGAGGGGTTCGATGAGCAGTCAAACAATCGGTTCTCATTACTTACCCCTCGCCGTTTTGGCCTATGCGACCTCTCCTTGGCCATGCCCACCCCTCTCCGCCTTTCAACATATCGATTCCACATTAAGGGACAACTTGAATTCGGTTTTTATTATTTATTCTGGCTTTTGGCGCGTGTTCTCGATTTATTTTCAGTTTAATTGCTCGTTTCGTGGCTCTTCTTCGTCAATTGTCTCTTTCACTTTGTGTGTGTGTTTATTTGCTTTTGATTTGATTACCCTTTTATAACCGCCCTTTCTCTACTCCACAATTTCGCTTTGTCGACTGTCTTTTTTTGGTACCCATTTGCATAATTGCATTTACAATTTTCCCTTTTTTGTGCGATTTTCTTTACCTGCCCAGCCAACTGCAGTTGATTGCAACGTTTTGCGGTTTCCGTTTAGCTCTGTATTAATATATTTTTCTGTGCGGTTTCGCTCTTTTGTAGTTCTTACCTTTTTCCTTTTCCAGCTGTGAAATGGGAAAGGGGGAGAAAGTGACTGTGTGTGTGTGTGTGTGTGTGTGGCGAGTATCCTTTTACTGCCTGACTGGCATTAATTATAATTTTGTCACAGAATACCAAATGCGGGAAGCCATAGAAGGAAACACAGAATGCGACTTTTCAACATTGAGTATTGGTTATTGAGAAGCTCTGCGGAAATAGATATTGAAAATAACACCCTGGGGAAATATGATTAGAGTTATTACAGTGTGAAAAAACTCGATATAAACGTTATTATTATGATAATTTATTTTTTATTTTTTTTATTTCTGTCCGTCTGGATTCGTCTTCAGAGAGGGAGAGAGAGAGAGTTGTGAAGTTTGAAAAGTGTTTCAGTCATCGAAAAAGATATTTATATTATGAGAGTTCACCAGAGTTTTCTAAATATATAAAACGAACAGCTTTTTTTGATTTTCATAGATTTTTGAAATGCATTGCAGGCAAACAAAATTAAGAATCAGTTCAAATATTTTTCGTGAACTTCCAAGAACATTAGAAACGTTGGTTAAAACTTCTCTTCTTTTAGACACGTTTGTTCATCTAAGCGTGTAATTTTTATTGCACAATTCATGCACAATTCTTGCGCTCGCCCTTTGTTATTATTGCTATCTGATTGTTTACACTTGACAGACGCCGGCCAAAGAACCAACACAAGTTTCTTACACGATTTCTCATGAGTCATTTGATAAGAAGTAATTACAGCATTACATGAAGCGATCTTTGGAATATACCGTATATCGTTAACGTATATGGGAACAACAGAAACAGAAATAGAAATAGCAAAAACCAAACAAATGAAATTTATATGTGCATAGAAACTATTTCAAGTGCAATGTGAGGCAAAAGCAAACACAAAATACACACACACACACACAGATAAACGCAAACACACACACACATTGACAAAACTTTTGCAACATGTGGGGAACTTGGCTCTGCTTTCGATTGTGTGTACGTCGAGGCGTTTGGTGAAATTGTTTTGAAACATTTGACATTCCGTATTTCCACCTCTTTATTTAATTAACTGAAAATGTGACGTAGTCGAATAAAAAATACCCTGCATTGTGTCGTTTTCATATTTTGGGTATAAACAACGCAAAAGAGTGTAAGAAATATAAAATTCGTGAATAATAAACCTATTTCTTATTAAAAACTAAAATATACGAAAAATCTTTCTTTATTATCCGAAAGATACAAATATAAATCAAGAATCTCAAAGATGTTTCATCGAAATTAAAATATATATAAGAAAAATTTGTCGGCAAATTTATTTATTTACTTTATTTATTATACTTAAATATTTGAAATATATAAGTTGAATATTTCATATTAATTCATATTATCACCAATATTCATCCTCATAAAAAACAACATTCTTGTTTTTTGGTGAATTTGGTAGCTTCAAGGTTAGGCACATCGTAAAAGTCTTGTGATGTTTTTATGTGAAAATGAAAACGACAATTTCGTTTGCCATTTAAATAAAATGTTAATACGTGCGACTGTTTGCACTATAAATTGCCGCA